GTGACCCTACAGAACAGAATAGAACTGCCTCATAGAGTTTCCTAGGCAGTAATCTTTATGGGAGCAGACTGCCAGGTCTTTTTCCTCCACAGAGTGACTAGTGAGTTCAAACCACCAACCTTTCAGTTAGCAGCCAAGTGCTTAACCATTATATGAATGATAGAAGACATTTAATGTCATTCTTCATCCTGCAGGAATTATGAGACTAATTCTGATTTGACCCTTAAAAACAAACTTATTATAAATTGAGTCATTAAAATAATACTATTCCCATCCCAGTAGGGTTATATTTTTATTGATGCAGACATTTGTAACATAGTTGAACTTTTATGATTTCTTTCCTTTTTGAAGCAAATCAATATCTTAAGTCAACTGTTGCTATTATACTTACGAGCCACTTCAGAATGATATTAAGAAATCTTTACTTGATTGTTTCATTCACAGTTTGTAAATTTCTGTGTTTTTATCATTTTAAGAGAGGAGGAATTCTTTCATATTTGTCTGTTAATATCCTTTCAGAATGCCTAACCTGTATCAATTATTCTATCATCTAAAACCTTTACTTTAGAGTGTTGTAAGCAATGGCTAGGCCTCCTGTGGTGCAAATGATTAAAGCACTCAGCTGCTAACCAAAAGTTTGGAGAATGTAGTCCATCAAGAAGCACCTCAGAATAAAGGCCTGGCAATCTACTTCCAAAAAAATCAGCCACTGAAAACTCTATAAAGGACAGTTCTACTCTGACACACATGAAGTCCTGGTTTTAAGTAATGAACAGAAAAGTCAGGTTAATTTTGTAACCTTATTTGCAGTTTAAGAGTATCTTGGGATCCTACTTGGAACTCATTTTCTGAAACAGAATAATTCACATATCCTGTATATCTACATAGGTTTTGTGAAGGACCAAATTTGTATAATTAATGATAGAAGGAGTCTCTGAGTGGTGGAAACTGTTAAGCACTCGGCTACTAGCTATAGGGTTGGCGGTTCAAACCCACCAGAGGCTCCTCGGAAAACAAGCCTGACAATCTGCTTCTGAAAGGTCAAAGCCTTGAAAACCCTATGGAACAGTTCTGCTGTGCACACATGGGGTCACCATGAGTTGGAAGCAACTTAATGGCAACTAAAACAACACCAACAATCATAGAAGGAATTTTTTGAAGGACCAGAGACTAGGTAATATAGTCAGGAAATAGTGCTACTTTGTGTTAAGTTTTATGTAAGCACACATAAATTCTTTTAAATGTATTTGCCACTTATTTTAATATTAAAGTAAATAGTTGAACGTATATTCATGAACCCTCCTACATATAAGTAAGCTACTTTTTAATTTGTGAGATAGTACAACTAGAATTATTATGGAACGAAAGTAGAGATTTAAATTAGACAGTAAAAGAAAGCTTTGAGTTTCTGTTTCTCTGTGTGTATGTAAATGATTATAGTAACACATATGATTATATATTATGTGCATATAAGATCATATGCTATATGTATATATATAATATAGTGATTTAACAATAATATCAAAATAGAACCTTCCAAATATCCTAAGCTTTCAAATAGTAAATATGATAGTTTTAATATTTTTTGAAAGTATTCAAAAAATCAGATCTTATTTTTCCTATGTTTGACTCAGTGTCACCAGTGGAAATATGATAGAAGACTGTCATGGATTGGATTGTGTCCCCCCAAAATATGTGTAGCAATTTGGCTAGGCCATGATTCCCAGTATTGTGTGATTGTCCCCCACTTTGTGGTCTGATCTGATTTTCCTATATGTTGTAAATCCTACCTGTATGATATTAATGAGGTGGGATAGGTGGCAGTTATGTTAATGAGGCAGGACTCGATCTACACAATTGGATTGTGTCTTGAGCCAATCTCTTTTGAGATCTAAAAGAGAGAAGGGAGCAGAGAGATGGGGACCTTATACCACCAAGAAAGCAATACCAGGAGCAGAGCATGTCCTTTGAATCCGAGCTTCCTGTGCAGAGAAGCTCCTAGTACGGGGGAAGAAGACTGATGATAAGAACCTTCCTCCAGAGCCAACAGAAAGAGAAAGCCTTCTACTGGAGCTGACTCCCTGAATTCGGACTTCTAGCCTACTAGACTGTGAGAAAATAAATTTCCCTTTGTTAAAACCATCCACTTGTGGTATTTCTGTTATAGTAGCACTAGATGACTAAGACAAAGACTATACTAAATAACTTTGTAATTGCTGATGTTTATGAATATTGATAATTTTCTTTTGGACTAGTTAATTTTCTCATTCTTCTCTTTTACACACACACACATGCACATATATACATATATTTGTTGACTGATATAAGGTATATATATTTATATTTAAAGTGTTAGAAAGCAAAGATGCCACCTTGAGGACTAAGGTGTGCCTGACCCAAGCCATGGCATTTTCAGTCGCCTCGTATGCATGTTAAAGCAGAACGATGAGTAAGGAAGGCCAAAGAAGAATTGATGCATTTGAATTATGATGCTGGCAAAGAATATTGACTATACCATGGACTGCCAGAAGAACAAACAAATCTGTCTTGGAAGAAGTACAGCCAAAATGCTCCTTAGAAGCAAGGATGGCTAGATTTCATCTCACGTTCTTTGGACATGTTATCTGGAGGAACTAGTCCCTGGAGCAGGACGTCATCCTTGGTAAAGTAGAGGATCAGAGAAAAAGAGGAAGACCTTCCACAAGATAAATTGACACAGTGGCTGCAACAGTGGGCTCAAGCATGACAATGATTGTGAGGATGGCACAGGACCAGGCACTGTTTCCTTCAGTTGTACATAGGGTCACTATGAGTCGGAACTGACTCGGCGGCACCTAACAACAACATATATGTTTTATATATATATCAGAGAATGTATATTTTAATGTATATCAGAGAATAGTAGTATGTATGTATCAGAGAATAGTTGTATAGTATGCTAAGCATTTTATATATTTCATCTTATTTTTATCATGAGACAAATGAGATGTTATTATCGTCATTTTCCAAATAAGGAAATGGATACATTTAGTATGTGATAGACCTGGGATTTGAACCCTGGTCTGTCTAATTCATAAACATCAGAGGAATCTCTTTACCAACAATAGCTCACAGAAATAATTTTGGTATAACACTTACAAGGGTGATAAGGTATGGCTGCCATTTTTATGATTGTTCTTTTGTTTATTCATTTTTACAGGAATTTTCAAGATGAATTATACTGAGTCCAGCCCATTGGCAGAATCCACTGCAATAGGTTTTACACCTGAGTTACAAAGTATCATACCTGTGCCTTCCAATGAAACCACTTGTGAAAACTGGAGAGAGATACATCATCTAGTTTTTCAAGTAGCAAATATTTGTTTTGCAATTGGGTTGGTTATTCCAACTACTCTTCACCTTCATATGATACTTCTTAGAGGAATGTTAGCTCTAGGTAAGTTACCTGTCTCAGATTTTACATAACTTGTTTATAACTGGCATCTTCTGGGCTTCGTATTTGGAGCTTCAGAGTATTCTTTGTTAGGTCTATAACATACAAAGACATAATCTTTATGATCTAATTAACAGTATATCAGGTAATTTAGAACATAGGACTTCACATGCCTGTATATCTCTCTCCCTTACTTAGAATAAAAATATATATATGCTTTCATCTTTTGTTTAGATTTCCCAACTATCAGAAAATCTATTCACTTGTAATAGGACTTTTGAGCAAGATTGTGTGATTTGAATCCTGGTTCCACCACTTGCTAACTGTGTAACTTGAGCAAGTGATTTAACCTTTTTACATCTCAGATTCCACATGTGTTAAATAAGAGTAAAGACAATACTACCTCCTAGGGTTGCAGTGAGAATTGAATGAGTGTGTGTT